AGGCCATGCCATCTGTGAGGCTGATTCTGGAGCTTGCTTTTGATCTTGTTCACTTAAATAATTCCTCCAAAATGCTTTTACATCTTGTTTCTCTTAGCTGGGATGGATTTTTGATCAGTATTTTAGATAGCTTTCCTCACAGGAGATGCAGAACCCTGATGTTGATGTAACGTGTTTCCTTGGTACCCTGGAATTATTTAAAATCATAATCCAGTGGAACCCAATGAGGGGGGGGGAGACAGTTGATTGTGGAGGGAGGAGCTCGATGGGCTATATGTCAGAATCACTAGTTTCATTTAGAAAGGGATATCAAGGCTTACAGTTTTAGGTGGGGTTATAAAGAACCAAATATAGAAAGGTGTGATATTTTTATGTTTCTCAAGAAGGTGATATAGATTGAAAAGGTTGAGAAACGTGTCGCCTAGTCTAATGGGAGAGGGCAGGACTTGGTTCTTAATCACCTCTTCATCCTAGTGCTTGGCATGTGGATGGTGCTCACCGCTATCTGTCAGCTGAGCATAGTTAGAGCAGTGGAGGAGGAGCTGATCCTTCGAGCTCACAGTCATCTTTGCTGGGTTTGTGCTTAGGGGTGTGTGCATGTGGGAATGATTGGAAAACTAACACATGTTCTCTTCTGATTCTTTTCCGATCCCTTACATTTTGGGGGGTTAGGATCTGAGAACCGTGGAAATCTACCATTTGCTTTGAACAACAACGGTAGAAAGCTCATTTTCTGAACACTCTTGTGCTGCAGCTCGCCTTAAAGGGGTTAGCCAGAAGAACTTTCTAGTGAGGGCTGCTACAAGTACCTGAATCTATAAGCTTTGTCCTGTGATTGTTACAACTCCAAACTCAGCCTCTTAAAAAGTGGCAGTTGAATGCCCGTTGCTCCAGGGTCTCAAAGGGATTTCAAAAGAATAAAAATACAGTCCTGCCCCCAAAAGGAGTCTAGAAGCCAGGATGGATAGGACCTCACACAGCCTTCTTTTGAGAGTAGAGTGTGGAGACTGGTGTGAAGAGTGCACCTGCTCTGCAAACACCTTATAGGAGAAATCTGTTAGAGACCTCGGCAGGGCTGTTGTGGGCAGAATAGAGAGCTTGGCTAGCAGTGGCAGAGAGGATGGAGAGCCTCATCCCTTTCCATGGACTCTTCCCAGGTGGCATTGGCTGCCTCCGTTAGTTCACCGGGCCCCTCCTCCTGGGAGCCCACGTAGCCAGCACCCTCTGTGACTCTCCACTCTGTTTCTTTGCCTGGTGCCTGCTGTCCCACCTCCATTCCCCTCCTCGCTCTCCCCTTCCCCATCTCCCAGCATTCATGTCTAGCCTATTTATTTATTGTTATCTTTTGAATTTTTATAAGAGTATTTGAGCCAAAATGATGACGTATACTGGGGAGCAAGATCTCATATACTCTCCTTCTTCCCCAGTTTGAATAATTAAAATGGAAAGGAGGAATATCAGCGGTTAGGGGAAATTTCCTTGGCATAAATAGTGTCAAATACATATACATACATGGCTTCAAGAAGAAATATTTCTGCTGTTTAAGTAGTCTCAACATATAGAGAGAAACACCCCCCACCCACCCACTCCCCACCCCTAGTGAGAACTGGTCTGTTTAATTTGCAGACTTCAAAAGCATAAAATGAGATAATAAAGAACAAAAAATAGGTTATTTTTCAAAGTGTGTATTTAATACTTTAGTCAAATGGGTTTTTTGGGATATAGTAGTCTTTTCTGTTGTAAAAATTGGGATTTTTAAACTTTTTTTAAAAATTGCTTTTTAGAGAGAGGAAGAGAGAGAGAAACATTGATCAGCTGCCTCCCATGTGTGCCCCGTCCTGGGCTTGAACCTGCCACCTTTTGGTGCACGGAGGTGATGCCCCAACCAACTGAGCCACACTGGCCAGGGCAGGATTGATTTGTTTTGAGAGGTGAGGTTAAATGTAATGAGGTAAAAGGTATGAAGTCTGTGAAGAGCTCTTAAATAATCTAATGATGTGAAGAAAGTAAAGCTTTACTGACTAGCATCTCATTGTAGTCTCTGGGCCAATGCCAAATCGGCCAGTACTTAGCAAAGGAAACTTAAACAGGAACTGTTGTCTCAAATAACAGCCGTACAGCACAGGTGGAGTAAAGGAAAGGCTGCAGGTCATCATCCCATTTATTTTCACTCTATTTATTTATTTATTTATTTATTTATTTATTTAAAATAATCATTGTTGAAAGTATTCGAAATATCTCTCTCCTTCCCCCATTGACCCCTCTGACCTGCCCCTGCTCCCCACCCTCACCCAGGTCTTCCCCACCTATTATCTGTGTCCTTAGTTTGTGCGTAATTTTATACAAAGTCTTTGGTTGATTACCTCCTCACTTCTCCCCCTTCCCTCTGAGATTCTGCACTATTGCCACTCAGTTTAAATGTTGATAAATTTTGATGTTCCTTTGTCTTGATATGTCAAATGCCTGTCTTTTCAATACAAGCACTAAGGGGAAATCACTCTAAAAGATTGGGGCAAGTGAATGTGGCTGAATGCCGAGAAGTTGAAAACTAGAAGCATGAGTAAGTGAATGAAGATAATTACATCTTGCTAGAAAGATAGGTATTTTGTTTGAAAAATCCTGAGAACTAGAATAGTCAATGCATTGGTCCTTTATGTTACATATTTTACCTTCTCCACAATCCCCCACAGTGAGTCAGGAGGGCAGTATTGATTAGCTCCATTTCACAGATAGGACATTTAAGCTCAAAGAGGCACAAAGTATTGTGAAAGCCACAGCTCCTAATCATTGATGGGCTGCCTCCTGCATGCCCCTCCTTCTCTCCCGCCTCTCTCCTTCCCCCTCCCCCGCTCCCTCCCACACACACCCTAGTACTGAACCTGCCCCTGTAAGAGCTAATAAAGAGGAAAGATTTATCTATAAACGTTAGGTAACATTTGTTCTAAGCAAGGTCAAACTCTGTACTACATTGTGTAATTGGATAAGGAAATGTTTAACTCAGTGGGAAGTTGTTATTTGAATTCATGTGGTAATTTATGACTTTAAACAAAGTTCTTATTTTGAAATCCCTAGTGCCTGAAGGAGGAAACAGTGACAGACCTGGAGACTGAAGTTCTTTGTCGCTCACACAGGTATGGCACCCTGTCATGCTGCTAAGGGAGTGTCTTCTCGACAGGAAGGGAGAATTTAATTTTTATCCCAGGGCACGTAACCATTCCTAGTAACCATTCCTACGTGCCACCCAGCTGTGCCACACCCTAGCCTGAAGTATTAGCTAATGCTAATTTTGTGTTTAATGGACTAATGGTAAAAATCTAGAACGAATATTGAAAATCTTTCACTCGTAAAAGAAAAGTCTAGATAATAAACCATAGCCATGCATGGTGCTTAATCAAAAGAAATCACAGGAAAGCGTGTATGCCAACAGTGCTTTTTAGATTACAGCCTCAGATGATACCCAGTGGGCAGTGGATGGGTGTTAATGATTATGTGAGATTGGACAGTGGTTGTAAATTTGTTTGAGCCAATAACTTAATCATTTGTGGCTATTGTTTTTTTCTCTATGGAACTCCTCACTTACAATTCTGCTTTTTTGCTTTATAATTATGATTTCCTATGATTATTACTGATTTCAGATTAGAAAGCGAGTAGAATTTTATTCTACATTCAGCTTCCAAGTGATTAACAAGATACAGTTCCTGCTCTCCAAAAGCTCCTTTTCTAGCAGAGGGCTGACCCTAAATAATAGAGAAGAAAGCTGGATACATTTTCAGTAGCATCTTTACAAAGGCAGATGTGCCTTTTGGGAGGATTAGCCGAGGGCACGGGGAGAGGGCAGGCAGAGGGCTCATGTAGGAGGCTGCACTGTGCTCCCTGGCATTGGTGACTGATGCTGAGTCCCCCTGACCCGCTGCTCAGGAGATGGGCGGGCTGTCCTCACCTCAGCATTCTCGTTAATTCCCTGCCTTTCCCTTCCTCCCCCTTTTCCAGTTCTTCATTTTAAAGATGCTCATAGAATCATAATGGTCACCTTTGTGTCCTAGAAATAAGACCTGGAGCTCCCTTTGTTCACCCGGAGGGGTGGGCCTTCTCTTTAGAACAGACTTGAGTCTTGTCGGTACTTTCTTTTTGGAAGATAACTTTAAAGGTTTCCTGAGCTGTGGTAAAATATCCTCTTTGAAGGTATTTAGTCCAGCCAATGTTGCTCGGTGGTTGAGTGTCAATGTATGACCCTCCTGAGGTCATGGTTCAGTTCCTAGTCAGGGCCCATGTTGGGATTGCAGGCTTGATCCCCAAATGGGGAGTATGCAGGAGGCAGCCGATCAGTGATTCTCATTGATGTTCCTGGCTCTCCTTTCCTCTCCCTTTCTCTTTAAAATCACTAATATATATATATTTTTACAAAGAGCCTGGCTGGCATGGCTCAGTGGTTGAGCGTCGATCTATGAGCCAGGAAATCACATTTCTGTTCCTGGTCAGAGCACATGCCCAGGTTGTAGGCTCGATCCCTGAGCTGGGTACATGAGGGAAGCAGTCAATGGTACACTCTTACATCGATGTTTTTCTCTCTCCCCCTCTCTCTTCCTCTCTCTCAAGTCAATAAAAACACTTTTTATTGTTAATCCTCACCCAAGGATATTTTTCCATTGATTTTTTAGAGAGAGTGGAGGGGGTAGAGGGAGAGAGAAAGAGACATCACATAGTTCTTTACAACATGGAAGAATCTTATTTACTTCAATAATCATATTTTAAATCTAAAGATGTCTAGTTTTGAATAAAGTGCAAGCTTTTATGAAAGATGATAATTTTGAATAATAGTACTTCATTCTTACTGTAATTGCTATATTTAAAATTGACTGCCCTAAGTAAATAGGCTAAACTTAAAAGTAAATTTATATTTTAGGTGATAGTTGAACTCTTAATTTCAATTTTTCAAATTTGAACTTAACAGTCTAGAACCTGAAACGATGTTCTTCTGTTCTTCCTAAAGCTCTCGCACCATGCCTGGGTCACTTCCTTTGAATGCAGAAGCCTCCTGGCCAAAAGATGTGGGAATTGTTGCCCTTGAGATCTATTTTCCTTCTCAGTATGTTGACCAAGCCGAGTTGGAAAAATACGATGGTGTGGATGCTGGGAAGTATACTATTGGCTTGGGCCAGGCCAGGATGGGCTTCTGCACGGATAGAGAAGATATCAACTCTCTCTGCATGACTGTGGTTCAGAACCTCATGGAGAGAAATGGCCTTTCTTACGATTGCATTGGGCGGCTGGAGGTCGGAACAGAGACAATCATCGACAAATCCAAGTCAGTGAAGTCCAATTTGATGCAGCTCTTTGAGGAGTCTGGGAACACGGATGTGGAAGGCATAGATACCACGAACGCCTGCTACGGAGGCACGGCCGCTGTCTTCAATGCTGTCAACTGGATCGAGTCCAGCTCCTGGGACGGTGCGTTATGTCTCTATTCCAAAGAAGCAATGTCTGAGGATGAACAAGCCCAGATTACCTTTTATTTACTTATTTAAGTATATTTTTATTGACTTCAGAGGGAAAGGGGAGAGAGAGATCAGTGATGAGAGAATCATTGATTGGCTACCTCCTGCACACCCCATACTGGGGATCGGGCCCACAGTACAGGCATGTGTGCCCTTGACTGGAATCCAGGGCCCAGATGACCTTTTAATTATAGCTGTATGCAAATGTTACCACTTAATGCTTGTTGGAATATGTTTGGGAACAAAGCTAAGACTTTCAGCATACCTGCATTATGAATCTGTTATCTTTTATCATGTAGGATATTACCTTATCAAAACTTAGACCATTTTTTTTTTAATCCTCACCCAAGGATATGTACTTTTTGTTAATTTTAGAGAGAGAGAGAAACATTGGTGTGAAAGAGAAACATCAATTGGTTGCTTCTTGTACATGCCCTGGCGGAGGATCGAACCCTCAACCTAGATATGTATCCTGACTGGGAATTGAACCAGACACCTTTTGGTGTACGGGACAGCGCTCCAACCAACTGAGCCACCAGCCAGGGCCCGTCTTCTTTCTTTCTTTTTTAAAAAAAATATATATTTTATTGATTTTTTTTTTTTTTACAGAGAGGAAGGGAGAAGGATGGAGAGTTAGAAACATTGATGAGAGAAACTTTGATCAGCTGCTTCCTGCACACTCCCTACTGGGGATGTGCCCACAACCAAGATACATGCCCTTGACCGGAATCGAACCTGTGACCTTTGAGTCTGTAGGCCAACGCTCTGTCCACTGAGCCAAACCGGTTAGGGCCCATTTTCTTTCTTTACCAAAGATGGGAAAAGCATATTCTTGGGGAAATGGAACACTTCAGTTTCCATGTGTAATATTTACAGTATGGATCACCTTTTGCACTGACGCTGTTTTTCAGGACGGTATGCCCTGGTGGTTGCGGGAGATATTGCTGTGTATGCCACAGGAAATGCCCGACCGACAGGTGGCGTCGGAGCCATTGCCCTGCTCATTGGGCCAAATGCTCCTTTAATTTTTGAACGAGGTGAGTGGGAAGGTATTTTGTTTTTCTAAATTAGCACAATACTCTGAGAAATTTGAAAATAGAAGCTAGTACTTAACTGAGTGGTCATTTACAGCAGACACTACTTGCTAAGTGCTTTATATGTGCTATCATGTTTAGTCTTCATAGCAGTTGTATGAGGTGAGCAATGTCATGCCCATTTTGCAGAGAAGTAAAATGGGGTTAAGTAATAACTTAAAGGAAGCACTTGCCATGGTCACACAGTAAGTGGCACGTTTTATTTCAGTTTAGTAAAACAATCGTAGCCTACTGATTAGATTTATGAAGCTTGCATGAAAACGTATATCCAAGGAGTCTTAGGCCTATTGCGGATACAGTTGTTTCAGTTACTGTTGGCTTCACCATGGGATGCTCATACTGCAAGAGGCGAGAGTTGACTAGTTAAGGAGGGCCCAGTAATGCTTGCTAGCATGCCGACATCAAGAAGCAGAAATCCACAGACATCTTCCTTTTTGGTTCAAATAGGACTTCGTGGGACACACATGCAACATGCCTATGACTTTTACAAGCCCGATATGCTTTCCGAATATCCCGTCGTGGACGGGAAACTCTCCATCCAGTGCTACCTCAGTGCGTTAGACCGCTGCTACTCTGTCTACCGCAAAAAGATCCGTGCCCAGTGGCAGAAAGGTGGGTGTTCGCCGCTCTCCTCAGCTTGGTCTGTGGAGGACGACCGTCTGGGTGTCATCAGTGAGAAACTGCTCCTGGGCGTCCTTCATCGATCAGAGTCCTTTAACCATGTCTTCCTCACTTGCCCAGTGGCATTTCCTGTAGTTTTGAGGTGTGTAATTTAGGGAAAGGAGTAAGCATGCAAATGAGTATACCTCTGCAAAAGTGCTTAGGCCGACTTATCCCCAAAGAAAACTAAAAGTAGGGTAAAAAGAAGCTTGAATTTTGTTCATCTTTTGTGAAAGGTACTTCCACAGGTTTTAGTATGTGGCTGTGTCCAGAGAAAACTAAGAAGGTCAATTTCTCCTCCCATTTGTACTCGACCTGTAGTCAAGTCAAGTACAAATGGGAGGAGAAATTGACCTTCTTAGTGTTCTTTTTTTAATGTCATCATCTGCTTTTTTAATGTCATCATTATCTCCATCTTTAACCCTGAAAAGGTTCTTTTTTTCTCCCCAGCGGTATATTTTTTAATAGTTTTCTAGGCTGACTAGCTTTTTCAAAGCTGCATAGCTTTTTAGAGTAAAAGTAATGATGTAAGCTCAGGTACACGCTCTGAGACATTTGGTAAACCACAGGCAGTCTGTGTCTTTGGTGACCTCTCAAAAGGGTGGCAGACTTCGCAGAGTAACTTGATTACAGGTGTGGGGGTGGATGGTCACATCGTGGCACATTGTCTATAAAACAACATGACGACAGTCTGAACTTCAGTAGGACACAGCACAGTTCCAGGTGTTAATTCAAGCACTGCTTTCTAACCAGTACAAACTGCCTAAAAACAGGATGTATTTTGACTAGGGGAAAAAATAGATGTAGCTGCTATTTTTTCTGCTGGATACAGCATATCTTTTCCAGAATGAGACAGGCTCCGCCGAAGGAGTTCTGAGGTACGGAAAAGGGCAGTATTGAGTCAGTACTATTAAAACGCACAGTATCATCAGACAAAATACACTTTTCCCATAGTCCAGCTTTGTTTTTGAGGTTGTGAGAGGGTTAGAAATATATTCAGACACCTGCTGACTCTGGACAAGCAGCATTGCTGCAGTCTGTAAAATGGCACTACTGAGCAGCCTGTATTTAAAGGTACAGCGATTCTATGACTGTTAGGACACAGTAAGAAATATACTTTACATCCTTTGTGTATGCTAAACCCAAAGGAAAGTGTCATGAAATTGCTTATCCATGCTGCAAATTATGCAGCTTATTTTCTACTTTAAATCATTTTTTTTAACTATAATTTTTTAAGATAAAAAATTCCTAGCCCTGACCCACTATTTTGATTATACAACCCACTAATGGATTTTGACTGTTACTGCTGAAAACCAGTAATATGATAGTGTATATTCTATCTCTGGTTGTCTTTCTGATAAGCACTTTAAACCACACAGGTATTTCATTGTACAGTATATTTTTGGTTGTGATTTAAAGTTATAAAAACATCCTAGCCCTGTTCAAAAATAAAACTTCAAAAGTCAATTGTATGAATTTCATAGTGTCTTTGGATTTCTTTTTCAGAGGGAAATGATAGAGATTTTACCTTGAACGATTTCAGCTTCATGATCTTCCACTCACCCTACTGTAAACTGGTTCAGAAATCCCTGGCTCGGATGATGCTGAATGACTTCCTGAATGACCAGAACAGAGATAAAAATAGCATCTACAGCGGCCTGGAAGCCTTTGGGTAAGGGGAATGTTGGGATTGTTTCCTCCTATGTGGCAGCATTTCTTATACCTAACTATTGAACTTATTTGTACAGTCCTGAAAGTTTTAGAGGCCAAAGGATTTTAGAAGTAATCTAGTTTAACCTACTTGTGTCATCAGTGAAGAAACCAAGTCCCAAGTGGCTTACCTACAGGAATTGTTGAGTCATGTCTACTCAGATTTTCTGATTTCCCCTTTTTGGCGCCCTGCCATCATGATAATAGGAATTTTAAAAACAATATATTTTATTTATTTTTTATAGAGAGGAAGAGAGAGGGATAATTAGAAACATCGATGAGAGAGAAACATCAATCAGCTGCCTCTCGCACACACCCTACTGGGGATGTGCCCGCAACCAGTGTACATGCCCTTGACTGAAATTGAACCTGGGACCTTTTAGTCCGCAGGCCAACGCTCTATCCACTGAGCCAAACCAGTTTCAGTGATAATAGGAATTTTAACATAGGGCCCTTACAGCATGCCAATGTGGCCCACCAGCGCCTGTATTTACAACAGCCTCTTCACTCTCCTCCTGCCTCTCCCCAACCCTGGGCCCCAGATTCATCTGTTCACTGTTACTGTCAGAGTCTGCCTCAGCTTCCCCACGGTTCAGGCTCACTGCCGCCCTCCTTCTGCTTTTCCTCACCTATCCCTTCTCCATCTGATGAAATTCTACTCACCTTTTAAGACTTGGCTCCTGTAATACAATTATTCTCCTTACTCAACAGACATTGTTATGGACTCAAAATAGTATATTCTTTTTGGTGACAGCAACACTTTAGTGGGTGTATTAGCCCATTAGAAGCAAATTGTCTTAACTTGGTTATTAAAACTTTGAGAAAAAGGATTTTCTGTCTACAACTGTTAATGTCTTCCCTATCAATTAGTATGCTACTACCCAGCTTTTAACAAATGGAATCATAAAGAACAGAATCATTTACACTTGGAGATTAGAATAGTAATAGGGTACACTAATACAATAAACATGGAGTCTTTGACACTAAAGCTGTCTTTTGCATATCTTTCAGGGATGTTAAATTAGAAGATACCTACTTTGATAGAGATGTGGAAAAGGCATTTATGAAGGCTAGTTCTGACCTCTTTAATCAGAAAACAAAGGCATCTTTGCTCGTATCCAATCAGAATGGAAACATGTACACGTCCTCCGTGTACGGCTCCCTCGCCTCTCTTCTGGCCCAGTAAGTATCTTCCCAGTAGCTTTCTACTACTAACTCCTCTCATTCGGGGAATGTTAGGATTCTAAGACCAGCTTCGTGCCAGGTCTTGGAAACTGTACTTTCAGACTCTCCAGCACATTAACCATTGACTTAAAGAATATATGGGGTGAGGCTACTGTTATTCCGTAGTATTTCATGTCAAACTGGCTTTAAAAAACACACACATATTTTTATTGATTTTAGAACAGGAGAGGGATAGAGAGACAGGAACATCTATGATGAGAGAGAATCATATGGGTCTAGTAATAATTAATGTCGTTTTCTAATACTTTTTTTTAAAATCTAATTTATTTAAACAACACAACAAAATTTAATCAACAGTATAGTTGCCGTTGTTTTCTACTACTTGTGCCCAACGCTCAGGAAGCATTTTAATCCCTCTGTTGTAAAATTCTTGTGATTTTGATGCAAAAAATTTGGTCAATGCATTTTTGAGGCATTCTTCATTATTAAATTTTTTTCCAAGAAGAAAGTTTTGCAAAGAACAAAACAAATGGTAATCGGAAGGGGCAATATCAGAAGAATATGCAGGTTGAGGGAGAACTTCTCATTCCAACTGGCACAGTTTTTCAGCAGTGATTCTTGCAGTATGCGGTCGTGCGTTATCGTGGTGAAGAATTACGCCCTTCCGATTAATCAGCGCGGGTTCTTTTTCTCTTAAAGCTTGGGCTAACCTTTCCAATTGGGCACTATACACTGCACTTGTAATGGTTTGGGTAGATGGTAAAAGTTCATAATGAAGAATTCCTTTAAAATTCCACCAAACACACAACATCACTTTTTTCGCATGCAAGTCAGGTTTTGGCGTGGGCTGCGGAGCCTCATTTTTGTCCAACCATTGAGGCCGCCTTTTCAAATTAACATACAGCTCCCCTTTTTCATCTCCGGTAACAATTTGCTCTAAAAACGGCAAACGGTTTTGACGAGAGAGGAGCGAACTGCAAATTGTGACTCTTTGATTACGGTTGTTGTCAGTCAACTCATGAGGAACCCATTTTCCAAACTTTTGGACTTTGCCAAGTGCACGCAATTAATTGGAAATTGTTTTTTGTGAACAATTGAAAGTTGTCGCAAGCTCTTGTTGGGTAATTTGAGGATTTTGCACCAAAAGAGCTTGAAGAGCTTCTTGATCAAAATTGGACACACGGCCTCGACCACTCTTGTCATCTAACGAAAAATTTCCCTCGCGAAATTTCTCAAACCAACGCTGGCATTTTCTGGCGCTAACTGCATCTTGACCAAGAGCACTACAGATGTTTTTTGCAGCCTCACTTGCTTTTCTTCCTAATTGGAACTCGTAAAGCATGCAGTGCCGAATATGCTCTTCATCCGCCATCTTCTTAGCCCTAGTTTTGCAACAAAAACCAAACCAAACACAAACTTTTTCAAGCAAAACTTGTTAATTGCACTTCACATGTTCTGTAGATACCACGTGTTTGAAGATTATGTCAATACAAGTCAACGCCAAGCAAGATTTTAAACGAATGTTAAAAAACGACATTAGTTATTACTAGACCCAATAGATTGGCTGCCTCTTGCAAGCCCCCCACTGGGGATCAGGCCCACAACCCCGGGCATATGCCCTGATTGGGAATCAAACCATGACCTTCTGGTTCATAGGTCAACACTCAACCACTGAGCCACACTGGCCGGGCACACTTGCTTTTCTGGCTCCTGTTCTCATGGTTTTATTATTCCTGACCTGCAGTTGAACCGGAAATGCCCGGTTGACAAAGTGACTTATTTTATGGTAAAACAACTTTCATAAGTCCCCTCCCCAAGAGATAAACAGCTTGGTTCCATCAAATCAAGCTTCAGGTTAGGTCCCTCAGGCTATAGGATGGGTTCGTAGTCCAGCTCCGAGCTTCCTGCACACTGTTGTTTCACATCAGCTAAGCTTCCTGGCTCCTCCCCGCACAGGTACTCGCCTCAGCAGCTGGCGGGGAAGAGGATTGGCGTGTTCTCCTATGGCTCTGGCTTGGCTGCCACCCTCTACTCCCTTAAAGTTACCCAGGATGCCACCCCGGGTAAGTACCACGTCTGTCAGCAAGAGCGTGTGGGAGCCTGTTCTGGGCAGGCTGTTCAGCAGCTTCTCAAGCACGCTCGGTCTGTCCCACAGGGCGTTGCTGCATTTCAGTGTCAGTGCTTCTTCCCACACAGCCGGGTTTCCCCTCATCTCAGAATCTGCCTACCTGGGTGAAGGACAGCTCTGTCTGCCTGAGGATATTTTCTCTCCACCCTTCCAAATCAGGAAAAAATACCAGTTTAAGCTTATTTTATGATGGGGTGTGTTGGTTTTTCCTTTTTTGGCAAGTAACTTTACCTTTCATCTCGTCTTCTCAACATGTAGTCAGGGAAAAGGAAGCATATCTACTTAAGACAGGCAGCTTTTTGAGTGTTTAATAATTGAGTCTGATCATGTGAGTGAATAATAAATCATTTCTTACTGTTTGCTAATACTTAAGTAACCTAGTTTTCCTAACTTCATGGTCTTGGCTATATTTAAGGAAATTTCTGTGCCTTCTCTGGTAGAAGGAGAAAAACAGAAAGAGGGATGGTAGACTTGGCACTGCTTTAAAAACTGCTTCTAATACAAGTTATGTAGAGTCTCAACCTCACCTGTTTATAAACTTGCGCACTGGCTGACACTGAACAGGTGTCGAGTCAGGTTATAGAGGCTGTCAGATAGATACCATCTTATCTTTAAATATATATACTAGAAGGTTAGTGCATGAATTCATGCACTAATGGGATCCCTTGACCTGGCCTGTGGGATCAGGCCAAAACCAGCTGTCTAACATCCCCTGAGGGGTTCTGGATATCAAGAGGGTGCAGGCCAGGTGTAGGGATCCCCCTGGTGCACAATTGGGGCCAGAGAGGGACTCGGGATGTTGGCCAGCCATGGAGGGGCCGAGGGAAGGCTCCAGGGCTTGTCTGCCTGTCTCTTTCAGTCAGACCCCAGCAGCAAGCTAACATATCGGTCAGAGTATCTGCCCCCTGGTGGTCAGTGCATGTCAGAGCCGGTGGTTGAGCAACCTTAGCATATCATTAGCATATTATGCTTTGATTGGTTGCAAAGCCGACCAGACAACCAGACACTTAGCATATTAGACTTTTATTATATAGGATGGTTTTTTTAGAATTGAGTTTTAGAGAGAGAAAGAGCAACATTGATGTGAGAAACTGTTCCATTGCCTCTTGTATGCACCCCAACTGCAGCCTGAGTCTGTGCCCGGACCAGAAATCAAACCCATGATTCTTTGGTGCACAGGTTTATGCTCCAACCAACAGCCACACCGGCTGGCGTGATAGATACCATCTTATCTTTTAACTAAATGATAGCCAGTAGTTATAGAAGTGAAAGTGGTTTTTCTTAACATTTGGCAACACTTTGTTTTGATTTTCGGGCATGCTATTTTTAATCTCTTAATGTTGTAATTCTTTACTATTTTAGGTTCTACTCTTGATAAAATAACAGCAAGTCTATGTGACCTTAAATCGAGACTCGACTCAAGAACATGTGTAGCACCAGCTGCTTTTGCAGAAAGCATGAAGCTCAGAGAGGACACTCATCACCTGGGTAAAATGTTCTGTGGTTCATATACACACATATTCACCCAAAGCCTGTAACAACATGAAACATACCACATAAAGATAAGGTTATCCACAGATCTAGGCTGTATTCAATACAAACCTGATGTTGGTAAAAATTGTAGGAAAGTAGGCAAATCTTCAGTTTAGTACCAGGTAGGTTGTGTGTCATAGCTAATTGTTCCCATTCTCCACCCTTCCTTTAGGCAACTACATTCCCCAGAGTTCCATCGATTCCCTCTTTGAGGGAACATGGTACCTGGTTCGAGTGGATGAAAAGCACAGGAGGACTTATGCCCGGAGACCCTCTCCAAATGCCGACACTTTGGCAGAAGGAGAAGGACTTGTGCATTCAAGCACAGCCGCTGAGGTACAGGCGGTGCATGGTGTTTGGTGGGGGGATGTTTCTATCCCCAGATGCTGGGCGCGGGGGGCCCTTCCTGAGGCTTAGCAGCTTAGGGACTATCAGAAAGCAGAGAGACTCAGAGCGGGCTTGGGGCTTGGGTTCCAGCTGTGCCCTTTCCCAGTTTTATAGTCCTTGCACTTAAATGGTTAGCATTTTCAAGTTTCAGTGATACCAGAACTGAAGGGAAGACTGGTCTAGAGAGAGGCTCATTTGTGACACATTTTGGGAGAGACATAGGGATAGGGCGTTGTGGCCCTCACCTCTTCTATGAGCCGTTGACAAAGCGTTCTCCAGAGATACTATGCCCATTTTAGAGATGAGGTTAGATGAGGCAAGAAGTTAAATGGCTTGACTAGGATCATAGCCAGACTTCAAAGGAATTATTTATTATATCTCTTCAGCACGAATTTGGTGAACGCAGTCTTGCTTCTTGCCATTATACAAATTAGGTAGCAGGTCAGCCTCCGGCATTTGCGTTGTGAGTGCGCAATGTAACAAGTACAGGCCTGGCTGGCGGGGCTCTGGCCTTCCCCTCTCTTGCTGTGTTGATATTTGTATAAGTTCACCGTAAGGTAAAGAATGACGTTAGTGCCGCTGTGAACCGTTATGTAGAGTATATTTAGCATAAGCCTCCAAGGTTGCGCTCTGCTTTTCCATTGGAACTTGCATTGGCACCTTGACTCAAAGCAACTGTGACCTGAGGCAGCCTCTCCGTTGGTTTTCAGCACATTCCAAGTCCTGCGAAGAAAGTGCCTCGGCTCCCGGGGACGGCGGCAGAGCCGGAAGCAGCTGTCATCAGCAACGGGGAGCATTAAGAACTGCCGGGCCGTGGGGGAGACCCGCGTGGGCCGGGCGGGTGGGTATGTATGGGAACGGTTGGGAATGGGATGTCTGGGACAATATTAAAGGATTACATGTTGCTTAAAATGTTGTGACTGACATGGAGCCTGGAAAACTATCGTGTTCTTGGGAAAGTCTCTGCTCAGTTTGCTAATGCGCTTCCTGTCGAGTCTAGCCAGCGCTTACCGTACTCCGTGATGTTAAGGGCTCCGCAGAACTTCATACCTCTCCGGCCATCCGTATGCATGACGCTTCGTTTTTAAATGTGGTTTGATGAGTCGTTTGTTTCTGGCAGAAAGGAGCAGAGGTACTGGTCTTCGATTTTAATTGTTTTGAATGTGTAAGAATTTTATACTTTGAACAAACAAGATTACTGAAAGTACCTGTAGTTTTTGATAAAAAGTTTCTAGTTTAAGAAATGCGCTCTTACATGTGATGTACACAAACCCTGTTTGACAATGGTAAAGAAAACACGTTTTTTTTTAAACTTTGTACATTCTGAAGAGAAGAGTTAGGATGATAACTGGTTCTTGGAAACTGGACTGTGGCTTTACATCCAGGCAGCAGTGGGCGAGTGGTTGCAGAGGCCCTGAGCGGAGAGACTGGCCCCGAGCAGGCCTGGGAGGGCGACCTGGTGTGTTTCTGCTCTGAGGGTGGCTCTCGGGCTGCCCTAATCCATTCATGCTGGATGAGGCAGAAAAATACAGATGTTACTGGAACTTGTGTGTGAGGAAGCTTGTTGCTGCAGTCCTTCTTTGTACCTTATTTTGAAGAATAAAACATTTTTCTGGCTGCCTTTTAAAAATGTTTGAAAGGAAGGATAGGGGCAAGGCGCTAGTTACTCTAATGGGTCAGTGTTATAAATGCAACTGAAAGCCTGACCTAACTTCACAGTGTAAGTATCCTTTTTCTTTTTCTTTTTTTTTAATCTGTTTAATGAAAATGAAAAGGTAAAACCCAAGTTTTTACATAGTTTGATCAGCCAAAATGAGTATTCCTCTTAGATCTGGAAGTAGGATCTATAAAGCATTTTCTCAGACTTTCACCTTAAGAAAACCATCACAAGGTCTGCATAAGACTGGCTAGACAGTTCTGTAGGTATTTTTGGTGCTGAACTATGACATGAGCCTTATAGATTGTAAAATAGAGCTAGTTGGAACTAATGTACAGAATTCAATTTTTAAAACTTTATTTGCTGTTAAATTCTGTGAAGTTTCAGTTATCTAAAAATAAACGTACACAAATATGAAATGTAATGTTTCAAATTGCAAGGTAATATGTAATGTAGTGTTTGTAAAATACTCTTGTCTAATATTAGCTAGTGATACTTTGATTTGTACAGTCATACTTTGTTAAAATGACTTCATTTTAACATCCAGATTAATAATGGAAGTTGAGATTTAAAGATCGGTGGGAAAGTGGTGCATGCAATACTTTCACAAGTATTGGGAGTTCCATATGTTTTGCAAAGAGTAATTTTTGGTGTCAGAAAAAGGGTTGTCTCAGGTCCATTGCCAGCAATGGGCAGGCTTAGTAATACTGGCACAGAATTAACTGTACACCTTATTGACAGTGAGGTGAATAACTTTGAATAAAGTTTTCGAGAAATATGGCAAATATTTGCGTCTTTTTTTCTCTTCTAACATTTAGGCAAGAAATCAGCTGATAATCTATCTTTAAATATGGGCATTTGGGTTATTTAAATTTATTCATTCACCAATTCATTCATCATTCAGCAAACATTCCAAAATGTGATATAGACAAGGCACTCACCTAAGTCAGAAATAAAATTTACAAGATATATGGTCTTACCTCCAAGAACTGTCCATCTGATGTGGAGGGATTTATACTGATAATTTATTATTATACTTTAGACAAAGTTAGGAAGTCCCAAATTGGGTGATAGCATGTATAAAGTTTGCTATAAATTTTATTTTAATAGGTTTTTATTTATTTCAGAAAGAGGAAGGGAGAGAGAAACATCAATGATGAGAGAATCTTCGATAGGCTGCCCAGGCATGTGTTCTGATCGAAATCAAACCATGACCTCCTAGTTCATAGGTCCATGCCCAACCAGTCATCCACACTGGGCTTGCTATCAGTTTTTATATAGAGAGTTACTTTGTGTTCCTTGAAACAATTTTAGATTAAGAGTTGACAATTAAGGATTCAGATAAAATTCTACAGCCCAGAGAGTTTCCAGACCGAGGGTCACACATACATGTCCGTGGTGCTCCCGGGGTTTACAGAGAACTTCTGCATTGGCAGTAATTGTACTAGGTCAGTGGTCGACAAACTCATTAGTCAACAGACCCAAATATCAACAGTGCAACGATTGACATTTCTTTTGAGAGCCAAATTTTTTAAACTTCTTCTAATGCCACTTCTTCAAAATAGACTTGCCCAGGCTGTGAAAGAGCCACACTTAAGGGGCCAAAGAGCTGCATTTGGCTCGTGAGCTGCAGTTTGCAGACCACAGGACTAGGTAATTTGAGTCCTCTCAATGCTTGGATTGTATGAATTAGGGAGTACACCTAATTTTCTGTTACTGGTTAGCTCATTTTGTCGTGTCATATCTAGATTCAATACTTAGTAATAATTTCATTTCTCTCCTGTCCCTCTGGTTCATTCAGAAGAAGGCCAGTGTTCTCTAGGGTAATGTTTGTCAATTCTAGAACCCTAGGGAATGTGGCTTTAAGAATCCTTGCCCTTCTCAAAAGAATTCATGTACTTTTCCCCTCACCTTCTGGGTTTTTGTTTATTTTTGTGAACACTGATAAGTCTAAAATTTTAAACACTAGAAGAAACTCAAGTAGATGCAAACAACCACTTAGGTCCTCTTGTGACTTAGTTGAAATACTTTCTCTTGTCCTGTTTGAAATGGCCTAAGAAACAGGAAAGAGGAAATCAACGGAACAAGGAATGTAACATGACCTTTTTAAAAATATATATTTTTTTATTGATTTCAGAGAGGAAGGAAGGGAGAGAGAGAGAAACACCAATGATGAAAGAGAATCATTGATCGGTTGCTTCCTGCATGCCTGGGGATCAAGCCCGCAGTCTGGGCAAGTGGCCTGACCGGGAATTGAACCATGACCTCTTGGTTCATAGGTTGATGCTCAACCACTGAACCATGCCAGACGGGTGTAACATGATCTTTAACTTAGAGCTATGTAATCTTTTTTTTTTTTTTTTTTTTTTTTTTTTTTATAATATCTTTTTTTTTTTGATTTATTTTATTTTTTTTTATTTTACATATTTTATTGATTTTTTTTGCCCCCCTCCTTCCCTCCCACGTATCCCCTCCCTCCCCAGAGTTTTATGTCCATTAGTTGTACTTATATGCATGTATACAAGTCCTTGGGTTGATTTATTGTCTCCCCCAGACCCTCCTCCACTCCCCGTTGTAATTTGATAATCTGCTTGTTGCTTTACTGTCTCTATATCTATCTTTTGGTTCATCAGTTTATAATGATCTTTATTATCCACAAATGAGTGGGGTCATGTGGTGTTTCTCTTTCATTGATTGGCTTATTTCACTCAGCATGATGTTCTCCAATTCCATCCAGGTTGCTGCAAATGATGAGAATTCCTTCTTTTTTATGGCAGCATAGTATTCCATTGTGTAGATGTACCAAAGTTTTTTGATCCAATCATCAGCTGACGGGCACCTAGGCTGTTTCCAGATTCTGGCTATTGTAGATTGTGCTGCTATGAACATAGGGGTGCATATATCCTTTCTGATTGGTGTTTCTAGTTTCTTGGGATATATTCCTAGAAGTGGGATTACTGGGTCAAATGGGAGTTCCATTCTCAGTTTTTTGAGGAAACTCCACACTGTTCTCCACAGTGGTTGCACCAGTCTGCATTCCCACCAGCAGTGCACGAGGGTTCCTTTTTCTCCGCAACCTCGCCAACACTTGTCGTTTGTTGATTTGTTGATGTTGGCCATTCTGACGGGTGTGAGATGGTACCGCATTGTTGTTTTGATTTGCATCTCTCGGATAATTAGTGACTTTGAGCATGTTTTCATGTGCCTTTTGGCCTTCTTTCTGTCTTCTTTTGTAAATATTCTATTTAGGTCCATTGCCCATTTTTTAATTGGATCATTCATCTTCCTTTTATTTAGTTGTATCAGCTGTCTGTAGATGTTGGAGATTAAACCTTTATCCGTGGTATTATTTGCAAATATATTCTCCCATACCGTGGGCTTTCTTGTTGTTTTGTTGATGGTTTCTTTTGCTGTAAAAAAACTTTTTATTTTGATGTAGTCCCATTTGTTTATTTTCTCTTTAGCTTCCATTGCCCTAGGGGCAGTATCAGTGAAGAAGTTCTTTTGGCATACGTCTGAGATTTTGCTGCCCGTGGATGCTTCTAGTATTTTTATGGTTTCCCGTCTGATGTTTAAGTCCTGTATCCATTTTGAGTTTATTTTTGTGTATGGTGTAAGTTGGTGATCTAGTTTCATTCTTTTGCATGTGTCTGCCCAATTTTCCCAACACCATTTATTGAAGAAACTGTCTTGACTCCATTGTATATTCGTGCCTCCTTTGTCAAATATTAATTGAGCATAGTGATTTGGGTTGATATCTGGGTTCTCGATTCTATTCCATTGATCTATATGTCTGTTCTTGTGCCAGTACCAGGCTGTTTTGAGAACAGTGGCTTTGTAATACAGTTTGAAGTCTGGTATTGAGATCCCTCCTACTTTACCCTTCTTTCTCAGGATTGCTGTGGCTATTCGGGGTCTTTTATTGTTCCATATGAACTTTTGGAGAGTTCTTTCTAGGTCGGTGAAATATGCCGTTGGTATTTTAATGGGGAGTGCATTGAACCTATAGATTGCTTTAGGAAGTATGGACATTTTGATGATGTTGATTCTACCGATCCATGAACACGGTATATTCTTCCATCTCTTTACATCTTCCTCTATCTCTTTTTTCAGTGTCATGTAGTTTTCTGCATATAGGTCCTT